ATGACTGAGTCTTGCTCGCGCTATCGCCGTAATAATAATATAATAGGCAGCTTGAAGCCTGGTTTTCATTAGCGACGCAAGCACAAGCGAAAACACAATAATTTTTTTACTGTGAAAACCGCCTTAACGTAGGCATAAGCAGAAGCGTAAACACAAGCACAAGGATCAAAATTTTTCCTTTTTCTTGTCCTTGCGCTTACGCTTGGGCTGCAACAAGTGAAAAGGAAATACAACTCAGGCATAACACAAGCAAATGGATATTTACCACACATGGTTATGATTGGCCAATGAAAACACTGGATCGAGATTGCCTCGCGCCTAAACAGTTTGGAAGGTTCGGATTATTTTACTTGTGCTTGTGTTTTGTCTCGAATTTCGTTTTCACTGTGGTAATCTCTATTGCTTGCGTTTGTGCTTGCGCTTGTGCTTGCGTCGCTCGTGAAAACCAGGCTAAAGCAACGACGACGGCGACGCCGAGGACTACCCCCAATCAAAAATGAATTTATATTTGCAATTGTCTAGATCTGTTCAGTAGGTCAATGGCTCTTAAAACATGGTCAGGCTAAATATCCAATGACAGCGTTCAAAACGAAAATCTTATTCCACTGATCCAGTCCAACGGAAAGACTCTATTTCCAGACCTATCGTGTTGAGCCCTCAGACACATGTGCCAGAGTCCCGAAGTTGCCTAGCAACAAGGTAAACCTTCACACCTTGAAACAATATGGCGGTCAGTGGAAGATGACTTTAAAGTTGTGAAACTTTACAGTCCTCAGTCTCGTCGGTATTTTGTGTAATGAATACTATAAATCCTTTGGCTAACCCTAAGGGTGTCAAACTTCTATGTGAGCTGTGTCAGAAGCCAGCTTTTAATCAGTGCCCAGATTGCAGAGTAACGTACTATTGGTAAGTTTTGCTTTGCTCAAAATTGTGTCCGTTTTCGTCTCTGATTCTTTTACGAGAAATTTTAGCAGAGTGTGAATCAGACGGAAATACGAGCTGTCTGTTCCGCTTTTATTAATATTATATACCGGCTGATTTTCTGAAGTTATTACACATTTGAATTTTCTGCACTTCACGATCGTACATTGATTTTTTTTGGATAAAAACAAGTTGTTGGTGTGTAGCGAAACCGTGTGTAGCACTTTGAATTGAATTGAATTGTTTACGTTCAAGTTAACAAAAGGGAAGGCGTTTTTCCCGAAACGTCTCTAAAAATACCAGTAAGTACTTTTTGTAAACTTAAACCTAAACAATCAAGTAAATTTTTTTTACCAGTTCAATTTTTATTTTCCCCGAAAAAATTTATTCCCTAGCTTGTTTGTAATAAGCTTATGTTATTGAACTAAAATCATAATATCAAACTACAGGTGTGTTTTATAACATTTTCAACCCAATGTTACCTTTTACCTGATCTCTTTTATGAGTAAGTGTCACATAAGGCCTCATTTCAACTCAATAACGAAGTTAAAATTGTTACGTCTGCTGTGGAACCAGAAGGTACTAAAAGGCTGACAACACATCTGAGTGAAATGATAAGATATTTTCACTGAATTTTAGTGCATCGGAGCACCAGAAAGCTGACTGGCTGGGAATCCACCAGAAAATTTGTCAGTTACTGATTCCATTACGGACTCCCATCCCATTTCTTGGATCTGAGGAAGAAAGGCAACATAGAAAACAGCAACAAATAGTCAGACAGGTATTTGTAGAGCATGACATCATTTAAGAAATAGAAAACATGGTCTGTGTTTCTAATGAGTTATAGAAACACTTCTGAAATTTGGGAGAAGGCAAAAAAGATTTGGAAACTCTTACCTGTCGGCTTGTGTTCCCACAGCATTTCTGGTTCTTGCATAGTTCTACTCACGTTGCTATAGCTACAGTAAATAGAAACACAGAAAACTTGCTTCTTCTAGAAAACAATGCGTCAAAAAAAGTGAAAAAACTTGGTTACTTGTTTGATCATCAAAATGTGAATTTTCTCAGCTCGCATCATCATTACCTCAACAGCTTGTGTTACATGTACATGCAGTTCTGTGTTTCTGTCACATTTTAGCATAAATCTACTAGCATTCTATCATGAATGCCATTCTCTGATTGGCTACGCTACTCACTATCAGTCTATTCTGTGATAGATAGTGAGTAGCGTAGCAGTGTGCGATTGTTAACAGAATGATGGCCGCTTCTTTGTGTTTTCAAGGTGTCTGTGAAGAGTATTTAGCTAAAGTTTTGAACTACTAGTAGATTTGTACTAAAACAATTAGACTATTCACTCTCGAGTTCTATCGCATGATAGTTGACAAGGGTGCAGTTAATTCCCAATCTGGAGGACAAAGCAGTAAGATTGCTAATTTGCATTTGAAAGGTTTGTTTCTCTCAGGGGAGAGAATAACCATTGTTTTGTCCTCCAGATTAGGAATTACTGAGATGGGTCTATAGAAACACGATTTTAAACCAATCAGCACGCCTATTTTCTTTAGGCTATTTTCTAAATCAGTTTTCCTAACAGAGATTCCTTTGGGTTTTGTTATGTAGAAATTGTAATGAAGCATTCATGTGCATGTACTTTCCTGCTAGAACTGATAATTCTGGTCTTTCTCCCAAAACAACAGAAACAAATGATTGAACTATGTCGTACAGAAGGTCAGAAACTACTATTTGAAGGTCAATATGACAGAGTGGTACCAGCTGCCTTGGAATCTCTAAAGTTCTCCATTGAAGTTTATGGTTTGAGTAGCATAGAACTTGTGCCATCGTACCTCATTCTTGGCGAAGCCAGTATAGGTTGGTATTTTGTAGTTTATGTAACACACCTCTGGTTGTTGTTTTAATATCTACATGTAGAGTGCGTGATCTAGATTAACTCTTGAAAATCATTTCAATTAACCGGAAAATAAAGTCTGTGCTCCGAGTTTAAAGGTATTTTAATTACTGTACATGTACCTAGTCAGACTGGCAGTCAGTAGGTCAGTTGTCAGTCAATCAGACAGTTAGTTAGTTGGGCAGTCAGTCAGACAGTCAGTTAGTTGGCCTGTCAGTCAGACAGTCAGTAATATTCAGTCAGTCAGACAGTCAGTTAGTTGGCCTGTCAGTCAGACAGTCAGTAATACCCAGTCAGTCAGACAGTCAGTTACATGTAGTTGGTCTGTCAGTCACACAGTCAGTAGTACTCAGTCAGTCAGACAGTCAGTTTTTGTTTTATGATTTATTGAACTGAAGTTTGTTTTCTCTCTCCAGGCCTTGGTCGTTTTTCTCAAGCTGAGGAGTACTTGGCACAGGCCCAGTGGACAGTGCTTAAAACTCCAGAGTGTCCAGACAGCATCAAATCAAAACTCTTTAGAAACTTGGGGTTGCTGTATGCTGCACAGGGCAACTATCCAGATGCTCTGTCACAATTGGCTGATGATGTAAGGACCTGATGCCAAACAAGTATTGGATGAGGTTTTTGTGATATCCAGAATAATCAAGGTCGAAGGTAGGGGTTATCAACCCAAGCTTAAGGCTGAGGCTGATAACCCTTACCGAGACCTTGCTTGAATTCTGGATATCACAATAATGGTTTTATTATACAGTGAACGAAAAAAACAAAATGGAAGTCATGTTTTTGCTTCTTCACCGATGGGAAGCAACACGAAGCATGTGAACTTGACACGATTATTGATATAATTGTAGTAATTATATTTTATTGTCCCGCTCTGTACATGCATTGCGGACCTACGATATTAGATAAGTTCAACTAATAATGAAGTAATCCAGTTACTTGGGTCCCATGATGATGATAATGATGATGATGAAATTTTACCATTGATTTAGATATACCATTCATCAAGAGTACATGGTACAGATGACATCAGAACATCTGGTGGATATTTTCACATGGCTAATGTGTTCTACCGACAGAACAAGCTGGATATAGCGTTCTCTCTCTACAATCAGGTACTGTTCAATCTGCTTTAACATTTTATGGACAAATACGAATAGCTTTAATTTCATGTAGCATCTAGCTGTAACAATTTTGAGAGCAAAATATACCTGCAGAGAAGAGCACCAGTATGCAAGTGCATCCATGGCTTTGGTAGTGTTATTTAACTGACATCAAGTCTCCCTGACCATGCCCAATGCAAACACAATTTGATGTCTGTATCTCAGATTTAAAAGATGGTTTAAGAAAAGCTATGCGATGTGAGGGAAAATTTTAGCTCATCAGTAATTTTATACAAGTTTTGTGTAAACAGCCTCCATGTGCTGTATTTATGCAGACCTGTAACGCTAAATTATAATTTGTGTTATTTTGTCTTCATTTGGTAATACTTTTTGTTTATTAACACAAACACAAACAATATACATTGTACTGTACATTACATGTACAATAGATTCCTGTGCATTGGACCCCACTGCACCTACTGTTACAGTATTAGATCTAGATCACTCCCAGGGGGCAAAATGGTCTGTTGTAGAAGCTTGAGTTACAGTTTAACCATTAGTATGGCAGAAGTAAATAAGTAAATATTTAAATGAATAAATAGGAATTTGCTGAGGCACATCCCACTGAGAGGCTCCTCGTCCACTGTTTCCAGTTCGCATTGAAATTTTAGAAGTGTTGGTTTTTTTTGGAGGGAGGAAAACCAGAGAATGTGCTGGAAAAACCTTGAAGCAAGGATGAGGATCAACAACAAACTCAACTCAAGGACGTTCGTGCGAATTGTTTCTGCGCATCCTTACTGCCCACACAAATTCACATGCCACGTCATGTTTGAGAGCACACGCTAAGGAATAAAATGAACAATGATACATGTGGGGCAGATGGCCATTGCTATGGCTTTGCCTGGGTTAAATGATCTTGGATGTTTGGCGACTCCTACTTTTCTTTCCAGAAACAGATTTTATTTGCAGTTACATTTTACATTGTATCACCACATTGTCCAAAAATGAACAAAAAATTAATGTGGGAAGTTAAAAGAAATTTCAAGATTACTGTCCACGGGACATTGAATCTTGCCATCTTGTGGCTGCAAGGCGCGTAAACTATGGTCACTAAATGTCAACTTGTTCTTTTAGGAACTTAATAGGTCCACTAAAACAATATTTGGCAGAGAACATTTTACTTCAAAGATCTAATTGTAATATTTTTGGGCTTACAGACATTGTGGTCTTATTCGCTAATGAAGTGCGTTTTTTTATCTCCAAAATGAAGTCAGTGACTCCCCATTTTTTTACATTTCTGACATAACTAACTCATCATCTTACAACGGTAAAAGTCTCGGAAAAAAAAATCAGTGTTAGAACACTTTCACGCGAACGTCTTTAAAGGAGCTGCATAAGTTCCTTTACTTGAAAAGTTTAACCTACATTTTTCAAGTTCATCTTTTGTCATGCATGTTTATCTTCTCTGTCCTTAATCATCCTTGTTCCTTTATGGCCTATTTTCATCTCATAAGTGTTTTTGTATCTACAATTTTCAGGTTTCCTTCAATTTTAGAGCAATTTTGCACATGGGTATTAATAACTCAAAATGCCATGCCTGAGCTGCTTTAATGGGTTACTTGTGATTTGATTACACTGGAGACTTGGCTTATCACTAACAGTAATGTGTTTCTATCATTAGGTCACAGATATCTGGTATGAGCACCTTGGAAGATTGGTGGGACAACGAACTAAGACTCCTGCAGAGCCCTCTGGGATAGGACCAGCTTTTAACTCGGGTGTACCAACAGATTTTGATATTTTAGGTATGAAAATGGACAGATGTAGCATGTTTACCAAAAAATCTGAAAATTTTGGTTGAAAGTCAAATGGAGCAGTGATTTTTCAGGAAATCCAGAGGCAGTCCTCCTTCCCTTGGAAGGGAATGGCAGAAGTTGTGCTAAATATTCCAGTTTTCAGTGTCTCCTCAGCCAAAAACAAATATTATTGAATTTCAATCGTGAGTGGTAAGCACCACTTGTTCAGTTGGCTTGCTGATTTTGTAAGAACCCTTACGTTATGCAATGGGCCTCCCAATTCTGTCAAATGGTACTGTAAGCACTCATGCTAACCAATATTTTCTGGAAAGAAAATTCACAGACATCACCTCATGTTTGAAGTTTATCTCAGAATGCTTAATTCTTCTTTTCCAGATGAAGCTCAAGAAGCAGAAGCTATCCAGGTGATTAATGCCATATTAGACCTCCGAGAGCAACAATCAGTCCAGACACCTGCAGTCATGTGTAAAATCTATTTCACCACAGCCATGTTACAGTTTATCTTGGGTGATATGCCAAAAGTAAGTTATCGCTCATGATGGAAAGCTTTACTCTTCCATGTGTAGTAATAAAATGTATGCAAAGGTAAAGTCTGCATACGAGCCAAGTGGTCCATCAGGCCGGAGTTTATCCAAGTTTCAGTAGCATGAAGCGACTAGGAGTATTTGTACACACCTCTGGATGGGAGGATAGTCCATCGCAGAGTTGCCCCCAGCATTAAGTTCACTGATACCCATTTATACGCCTGGATGGAAAGTGTCTTGCCCAAGAACACAACACAATGTCCCTGCCCAGGACTTGAACTTGGACATCTCAATCCGTATTCAAGTGCACTAACCATGAGGCCACTGCGCCTCCACAATAACGAAATGTGAAACTGAACACAGTATACATGCGTATAGTATAATACTTATCGCATGTATCTGTAGTGGATTCCCGAGTTATCAACATTGTGGGAATGCAACCCTGCGAGCAATCTTTCTTGGAAGCTCTCTGAGTCCTTCAGACTTCTGCCAGAGAGCGTTCCCACAGGCTGTGGCAATGCTTGTCAGAAGATATGAAATGCCTTGTAAGTCAATTTGTGCCAAACCCAAGTCCAGACTGTTTTCAGAGTCATTTTCATGATAAAACATGTTGAAACCTTTCTAATAGCCTTTATGCGCGTTGAGATTAGGCTGCTTTAACTAATTTCACTACCAAGCCTTGCTATGAAAATGCAAATTGCAAATTTTATTATGAAGAAATTTCCAAAGCAGCAAAGATGAAAACAAAACCTATGTGAAAACAACACGTTCAAGGTGCCAGAGGCTTGAGAGAATTTCATGCAAACGGGGTTTGAGGGTGAAGTTTGTGCATGTGATGTAATCAGGCATAAGACCTATTCAAAAGAAATAGAAAACACTTCCACGTTCTCTTTGAGTGTGCCCATTTGGCGGTATATGGGCTCTATCCCCACCCCACCCCGTTTTGAGAAGTAAAAACTTCCAAACGGTCATTTAAGGTGGCTGAAAAGAGTTTCCAGCACTTAGATTTTGATGGGTCGTTATAACAACTCTTTATCACTTGATACTACAATCATGGTATCAAACATTTGCCCAATCATTGGTGAACACCTTGTTATCATTTTCGTGACAGGTTACCATAGCAACAGTATGACCTCCTAAAAACACCCTTAATTACAGTTTTAGGGGCTTATAATTCATTAAAACGTCACGGTGAAATTTCAGTGTTCCGTCAAAATCTCAGTGCTGGAAACTGTTTTGAGCCACCTTAAGGAGGTTCGCGCTAATTATTTCTGCGCATCCTTACTGCACACGCAAATTCACATGCCACGTCATGCATCGAGCGCGTGCTATGGCAGACGGCCATTGCTGTAGCTTTACCTGGATTTAACGATCATGGACGTTCGGTGACCCCTATTTTTCTTTTGATGGATCATTTTCTCTACCGACTTTCTACGTTTAGCGAAAAAGTGAAGAAAATCTATCGATTGGAAGTTTGAAGATTTTGCAAAATGCGCCATCGAATTCCGTTCTATTCAGCTCTTCGTTTATCTGTGCAGCGGCCTCAAATGCCTCTTGAAGGGTTAAGCTTTGTGAAAACATTGGTAACATTTGGTTTATTTACGCAACAGACCCACTTTTACAAAATCTGACTAAGATCGTTTGCCTCCGTTGAATCACCTTCGATAGTAGGGCCCTTACGCAAAACACGACGGCAACGGCAACGAGAACTTCGTCAAACAAAAGGTTTAATGAAAAGAACAATGGCTGTGCACGTGCGTTATAATTCTTGGTACATTTCTTTGCCGTCCTCTGCAAAACAGCAACGTGAAATGACCAAGTTCTGCGTTGTCTGGAGAACGTGAACCACGACGGCTAATTTTTCGTATTTCTATTTGGAATTGAACGCATTCGTAGAACTTTCAGCAGGGGCAAGTTTTAATACCGACAGACTGTGACACTGGATAGTTCCAAATAAATGCGAAATTCCAAAGTAAAATAGAAACACATTTTTTACTACGCGTCGTCCTCGCTGTCGCCATCGTATATGCGTAAGGTCCCTATTTTTANAAAACACGACGGCAACGGCAACGAGAACTTCGTCAAACAAAAGGTTTAATGAAAAGAACAATGGCTGTGCTCGTGCGTTATAATTCTTGGTACATTTCTTTGCCGTCCTCTGCAAAACAGCAACTGGAAATGACCAAGTTTGGCGTTGTCTGGAGAACGTGGACCACAACAGCTAATTTTTCGTATTTCTATTTGGAATTGAACGCATTCGTAGCACTTTCAGCAGGGGCAAGTTTTAATACCGATAGACTGTGACACTGGATAGTTCCAAATAAATGCGAAATTCCAAAGTAAAATAGAAACACATTTTTTACTACGCGTCGTCCTCGCTGTCGCCATCGTATATGCGTAAGGTCCCTATTTTTAACTATAAACCATGCTGAATTACGGGCAGCAATTTTTCAAAATCAGGGCAGTTTTCCACACGCTTTATCTCTGAATGAAGTCGGTGACCCCCATTTTTATTTGCATTTCAGACACAATTATCTCATTATCTGACTGTAGTAAAAATATTAAAAAATCTATCGAATGGAAAATTTTCGCGAGAACGTCCTTAATATGGTTGGCGCACCAAATCTGTGGTCATGTTAAATTGCATAATAATATCAATGTTGAATTTAAGAAATAGAAAACATGTACCGTGTTTCTATCGAGTATTAGTAGAATTCTACTAGTATACTAATGCAAATGCTGTAATCTGATTGGCTGAGCCATTGAACACTATCAGCCATTAGTGTGCAGTGGCTGGGGGTCGTCTAGGAAATGGCGACGTTTTTTTCGATCTTCCAAAGTTTTGGAGGAAAATTTTGATGCAAATGGATAATTAAATTCCTGAAAAGTCTAAACAAAGGACATTTACGGTTTCTTGACTTTTAAAAATGTTGAAATTATTAAAAAGAACTTATGCGCGCGCGCACACAACTTCAATTTTAAATGATAATTCAATCCGAGCCTTTTGAGGGGCAAAGTTTAATAATACGTCAAGAAATAAATGGAAACTGTTATTTGAAATAAATTTTAGTAAGAATTCTACTAATGCAATTAGATTATTCGCTCTCGATTTCTACGAGGTGATAGTTGATTCGGCCCTCAGCCTCATCAACTATCACCTCGTAGAAATCTCGAGCTCATGATCTAATTGTTAAATAGAAACACGAGTGGAAGTTTGGGAGAACGAGAATTGCTGTGGGAACACGAGCCTCGGGCGAGTGTTTCCACAGCCTTTTCGAGTTCTCCCAAACTTTCACGATATTTTCTATAACTCGATAGAAACACGGAGAACATGTTTTCTATTTCTTTTAGAAAACACCGCGGCGAAAAAAAGGGAAACAACTTGTTTACTTTGATCATCAAAATGTAAATTCTCTGTGCTCGCGCCATCATTACGTCAACAGCTCGTGCTAGTTCTGTGTTTCTATCGAGTTATAGAAACACGATTTTTAACCAATCAGCGCGCGCATTTTCTTNAAGCTAATATTTCAGCTGACAATAGTTGCTGTCAATGCAAGTCTTTTTGAAAGACTTTTATGTACGATGGTCAGAAAATAGTTGCAATGTTTGTAATTTCGATCAGTCAAGAGGCATTTACGTACAGATACAGATTGTTTAATAAACTGTTGGTTTTATTTGCTAGTCAAATTCCCTTCCCCAAGACACAAGAAAGGAAATTCTGTTTATTCGATTCCTGTATGCATGCGCGTTTTTGACAAATAATTGAAGTGGTTTCTGGCCAACGAGAATGTGTATTTGCTAGTGCTTGAGAGTTCGGCAAACACATGTACGTTCTCTTTGACTACGGAGGACGTACATAAACAATTTGGCCAATATAATTTTGCGAAATACCCCGCGCGACTGCGAAAATAGCTCGGTCAAGCCATGGTTTACTTTGGCGTTTTTATTATTGAGCAATGTTTAAAGTATTAAAATGAAAGTTTATGCCGGAGGTGTAAAATCCATTGGACTCGTGGAGAGATCGTTCTGTTATTGTGTTTGCAAAGCAAGACAGGTGTTTCTTTTGAAGTACATTTTCTTAAGGTAACCTTTTATAGCTTTTCTATTTTACTAAGAAATCAATCAAAAGGCCAACGTTTGCTGCTATTCACGACAGAGAAACGGGAAAATATAAGTGGATTACATTGGTTTCTCTGGAAATAACTGTTACACAAATTCGTTTCTTATCTCAGAAAAGATAGAATTTCTCCCTAAACCCTATACTTTGATCTAGAAATTTGCTTCATGCGTCGGAAGACAAAAAAAATCTAGCCAGGTATTTTATGTGTTTACCGAATAAGCATGGGGATTTTTCACGCCTTAAAATGAACTGTTAGTTGAAATTCTAGTTAAAATCTGCTTGTTTAGAGAGCTCTACCCCTCAGCAACCGTTTCTCTGCATGCTAGAATTTCAAGTTTGAAGTTGTAAACACCGATAAACAATTAGGTAAGAAATGTTACTGATGAAAGTTTACTTTACAAAGGAGATTAAGATAGCACCGTCTGTCTCCTTTTACAAATCCATTCGTGAACCAACTTGAAAAATGAAAGAAAATATCTTTGAGATGTTGGAAAGAGAGAAACTTTCCCTTGATTCAACGCGAGCTAATCAGTTACCAACTTCCTAATAAGATAATTGATTTCCCTCCTTAAATTTAGCAAAAAAAAAAAAAAAACCAGTCAAAATTTTTTAGTACTGCTTGAATACGTTTTTTGTAAAGCCATCAAGGAACATTCAAGGAATTTTCTTGAAATACATATTTCACAACGTCAACTTTAACATGTAATGTGCCAGCCGTTTATTCAAATATGACATCACATAATGACAAGTCTTTCTTCCCAGCATATCAGCTCCCGCATTAAAAACCTGTTATTTAATTGTCTGATATAGGTTATGAATAAATCGTTGCACAAAATCTACGGCAGTATGAGCAAAAGTTACTTGGAAAATTGCGAAACGGGCGGGAAAAATGGTGATAAAAGAATATCTGACTTCCTTATCAAACTGACTAAACACTTTACAATAAGTCCAATAACGTCAGCGGAAAACACCAACATCTGATATCTAATATAAAGCATGGTTTGAATTCAGTCTACATTGTAATGTACTGTCGTAGCAAACCATTGGTTAGTCGAGAATATTTTGATCGGCGTTTGGTGCACACAAAAACATTTCAAAAATCTAACATTTTATCATTTTATAAATTTTGAATATTGCTTGAACGCCTTTGAAGTTGTCAACACTTTCTAATCCCGCCTACACTTAGTGCTTTTGTTTAAACAGCCTTTATCAGAGTTTAGAAAGAATTGTCTCACAATATTGCAGAACGTCAAACCTTAACAGGTAAAATACCAGCATTTACTCAAATATGACATATATCACACATGACAACTAGTCTTTCTTTTCAACGTATTACCCCCTACTATGACAATAACTGAAAAGTCTTCGCAAGAAGTTTTCAAGAAAATTGCAAAATGGGACGGAGGGTGATATATAACCTGGATATCTCACTTCCAGACTAAAATTCGTTACAATAAGTTCAATAACGTCAGCAGAAGATATCAACTTCTGACATCTTAAGTACTGTTTGAATTCAGTCTGAATTGCAATACATTGCCGAGGTAAACTATTTGTCAGTTTGAATATAAAACCAACAAAACCGGTATCTGAAAAGAGGGGAAAAAATTAGCGTCATTGAAGATTGATCGGTTTTTCTATAAAGACCGCTATCATCAAATCAACTGTGTTTGCATATGTCCACTTGCTTTCGCCCTTATTGAAACGGTGCTTCGCAATCATAATCTGCCTTGTAGACCGATATAGATTGGCTCCGTGCAAACTAAACCGCATTTATTTCTAAAATGTTTAACGGTAAATGTAAGCTGGATTTTTTTTTCTTCGTCCGTTAAGCTATTTCTCAACCGGGAGTATATTGACTTGTAGCTTTCTCGCAGGTGTATTTGAATTTCGAATTTCAACGCCCGCCACTTTGTGATCGAGCGCAATTAACATAAATGAAAACATATAGAATTTCCGCAGCGTTCGATCGCTATTTAGACGATCGGTGACACATGCAATATTGTCATTTAGACCGGCGTTTGCTCCAAGTTACGTTCAGAACCGAAAAACGTGGGGAGACGTTATTGATATCAGTGTATTAGCCGTGTTACGAAGGCAAGCTGAAATTGGTACTCGTAAACCGTTCGCGAACCGGCTTTTTTCCAACCAGTGGTCGCGCACTCCTGAAATTCGCAGGTCATGTCGCTGGCAAACGAAACATTTAACCAGACGCAGCGAAACCAAAGTGTCATTAACGATGAATGCTTCGTGTACGATTCAGCAGCTGTTAAGATGCTGCGAATCATTCCTTACTGTGTTCTGCTGATTGTTTCTTTACTCGGAAACTCTGTGATAATTGCTGTGGTCTGGAAAGAGCAGCGGATGAGAAAGACTGTCAACTTCTTCATCGTCAACATGTGTGTGGCAGACTTGTTAATAACACTTTACATGCCTCGTGTTATGTCTGTATGGTATTCTGGCTACCAATGGCAAGTACGAGGAACTCTTGGACTGATATTTTGCAAATTTGCCGTCTTCACGCATCAGACAGCCATATGCGCGTCGATATTTACTGTGGTCGCCATTAGCTGTGATAGATTTTTCGCTGTGGTCCTGCCTCTAAAAACAGTCATTACAAAAACGGTTTGCAAAATAATTCTCGCCATGATATGGATTTTATCCGTCGCTATTCGCTTGCCAATGCTGTACGGTCTTGAAACAGGTTACGACAGGTATGGCAAGTGGGGTTGCTTATTGTCTCTGGACGATGCGTTTTACAAAGGAGCGGAGAAGGCTTATTATAAGTTTACCCTCATCGGCTTGTTTGCTGTGCCTCTATCGGTGACTGTCGTGCTCTATGCAGGTATTTTGATCTCCTTAAAACTAAGAAAAATTCCCGGAGAAGAGGTATTACGAAACATGGGAAGGCAACAAAGACGAGACGCGGTTATAAAGAGGAAGGTTCTTCGCATGGTGCTGATCGTGGTCGCTGTGTTTGTGCTGTGTTGGATTCTCTATTTTGTACAGCTTATTCTGTTTTCTTATAAAATTCAAGTGAGCTGTGACGTTCAGTTTCTCAGGCTGTTCTTGGCCCATCTTAACAGCGCGATTAATCCCTGTTTGTACCTTCTGTTGAACGAAAATTTTCGTGGAGGTGTTAGAAACATTCTGAGCCGAAGCCCTCTTTGTAAATGCATACCCAGCTTAGCTATGGGTAATTTAAGACAGAGAGTTTCTCCCTCAATAGGGATTACTTTGTCCATGTATCCACAAGACGAAGATGAACAGCCTTGAAAGAATACGAAATGAAAGAAAAGGTAAATGACTTTGTAAAGAGGAAGGTAATAAGTTATTAGTTAAGAAACGTAGAAAATTGTTCCGCCACAAAATGACTGTAATTCACTGAGCCCAAACAGTCAATTCGTTTTTGCAGAGGATGTGATTCTAGCTGATCTGAAGAAGGAAATACCTCAGTGGACTGAAAACGAAACGTTTAAGATATAAACTCAACACTTCAATGCAATCGCATTGGATCATGCAAAGCGTAATTGAATAGCTTTTGTGAGGAGATGTATGACAGATACGTATTAGCCTAGGTCGAAAAGGGTTTCGCGTGAGAAATGTATTAACTTTTATTTATCTGTAACAGGTGAAATACGATTTTGTTTTTCTACCGTGCAGTGAACTGTGGCTTTCAATGTAATGTTAGCATAATATCCAAGGGTTTAATATCCAGGTAGTATCATAAAAATCAAACTCATTTCGGAGATTTATATCAGGGAAGTTTAATTTTAAGCTAAAATTTCAATGACCATGAAAAAACTGAAGATATTCTGACAACAAACTGACATGCACTCGTTTGATATACGTAAAGATACTAAACTAGTTAACCAAAAAAACAAAAAACATTTCCATCCTTTTTGCCATCAAAATGTAGAGAAATAAAGAAAACTGTGGATTGATGTCGTTGTTTGCTTAAAAGTAATTTGCTGGTGCAGAACGCAACATTGCTCAAGCTTAAAGAAAAAAAATATGTTTTCTTGAGCGGCGATATCAGCTATTCACCGTTGTTGGAATTTAAAACTGACCCCAAAGGTTTGAGCTATTCAGTCAAACGGAAGATTTTACGAACCTGACGGAAGACCTTATTTTGAACAATGAAACTATGCAAATATTAATAAAGCAACGAGAGCATCGATGAAAAAGTCATATTGGTGATGTTTATTTTGTGCAACACTTAATGAATTATCGAATTGAAAGTCGTTTACACACTTGTCTCACTTGACCTGAAAACGCCTTAATATGTGCTTTTGATTGTATACGAACCAATAACAATTTTTATGCGATATTAAATTTCTATAGTGATGGCCTCTTGTGCTTACAGTACATTGCAAATGTTATCAGTTTGGTGACAGACCGTTCTAAGTTTTAAAATTCATGTTAGTTTAATACTAAGAATGCATCTTCATTACTGACCAGAAATATGTTGTTTGAAAGCACAAGCTGTGTCGTGGGTGACCCTGTACGAAGTTAGACCCCGTGCGCATTTCGCAGGAGAAACTTGAAAATGGCATTTTCACTCTCAAAACGCATCAAATGTTTTCCGTCCACACTACGACAGAGAATTTTGAAAACGCAACAATTACCGGTCATTTCGGATTTATGTTTCAGGAAGATTCGGACAGGGAAATCAGGTGATTATTATTTTTACCTCAACGTTTTCGAAAAGCTCCGTGTTCAAAATGTTTTCCGTCCGCACTAAAACGCAACGTCGGCGTTTTGAAATTCTTCTGCTTTGAAAAGCGTTCTCGAAAAGCGCCGTTTTCGTGCCGGACTAGAGTGGTCGGTAGACCTAACCATGGAAACAAAGCAGCGTTTTTGAATTTCTCCGGTGTAGTGTGGACAGGGGCCTTATTAGTTAATGAGTTCAGTTACCGAAAACTTGAGACGAAAACTTGGCAAAGAAATAGAAACTGTTCCATCTACAGTTTCGTTTCATAATAAGGGCTGACATGCTTTCGTAGAAGTGCAGCAAACCAAATTTTGAATTCTGTCAATCCGTTTTCACTGACTTGACAGGAAGAGCTGCGTTTCGAAATTACCTTTCTCGATTGAAACTGCATCTTTTTCCCGTTCCTGTACTGTGGAGCATAGGTGAAAATGCATTGTGCTTGTTTGAAAAGGAAAACGTGTTTTAATTAGATTTTGACGAATCATTATAATCAGTCTTTGTCATTTGATACTACGATCGTAGGATAAGGAAAATACACAGTCATTGGTGTACAAGTTGTTATTACAATTTTCATGACACATGATAGATTACCATAGCAACAGTATGACCTGTTGAAAACACCCACAACTTTAACTGCCCATAAATCAAAATGATCTCGGTGAACCATATTTTTACTGTATTGAATTTTGATTAGAAGGATAAAACGCAACTTTTGGCAAAGTTTTTCAAACAATTCTGCACATTGGGTTCAAATCCACTTTGAATTTTTGAAAATTTAATAGGGGTCACCGAGCTCGTTTTTGAGTTATTAGCAGTTAGAGCTAAAATTAAAGGTGTTTTTAGCAGGTCATTCTGTTGCTATGGGAACCTGTTTTGTCACCAAAATAATAAAAACGAGTTCACCAATGATTGAGTAGTTTTTTTGATACCATCTTTGTAGCATCTACTGATGAAGAGTGGTTATAATGATACATCAAAATCTAAGTCTTGGAAAGCGATGGAAACTGTTGCCAGCCGCCTAAACAGAATTGACAATGCTCAAGTTCTTTCCTGTTGTTGAGGGTTTTGGAGAGCAAGTTCTTTTCCATGGTGAATACAGAACATGTGACACTAAAAGTTTGTAGAAAAGTTGCCGAAGGACTGGAGAGAGCGAAATCGTTTCCATGGTGAATACAGAACATGTGACACTACAGCTTTGTAGAAAAGTAGACTACCCGGCAAGTGTCTTTGAATTCTAGCTCGTGGATTACAGTCTTCGAGTTCCCAGTCCCTTTTGCAGGTGTTAATATATAGCTGTTTCTGCAGCAATCTTGTAAACAACACAATTGAGAGAAAATCTTTTTGACGCCACAACGATAATTCTCGCTGAATGCCACGTAGAGGCAAGGATTTATAGCGCTGTTGGAATGAGCGAGAAACAGGCGGACAAACTGAACATCGCATGAAACGTCGACATCGTAGGAAAACAATATCAGACGAATAAAATACAACAACCAGCAACAGAGAAATGCTATTACAACTGCTGTTACCATAGACAAAACCTTCCTGGTAGTCTCTTCTTTGCGCTGTTGCCATGGATTCATTCTTAACGCGCTGTCAGGTTTTGGTAGTTTTCTTCTTTTCAGAGTGACTATTATAGCAGAATATAGAATTAAAATAGCCAGGAAAGGTGCAGCAAAAAGACATAAAAGATTGACAAAGTAGTAGATTTTTTCAGTTCCATGGCCAAATGTTTCATCGAGTTGTATATAACAATGTTGTTTCCCGTCGACGTTGTTTAAACTGACTGCATAGACCACTGGAAATCGAAAAATAGACGCTGTTAGCCATATGAGAGTTACCAGCAATTTAGTTCTGGGAATTGTTAGAAGCGAGGTCCGCAGTGGAAACATAATAGCAAGAAAACGATCAAAACTGATTGCAACAACAGTTAGAATTGACGCTGCCATACAGGTCTGGTTGAGCAGAGTTGAAACTCTGCAGAATAGTTCTCCTGGTGTACCATCGACTTGCCATTCAAACCCAGCGTATACGAGACTTATAACACGAGGCATATATAGAGTAAGAAAAATGTCCGCCACGGCCATGTTCACTATGAGATAATGAATAGATTTCCTGCTCGTCATCTTGATCTTTCTTGTCACTGCTATAATTAAAAGATTGCCACTTAAAGAGAAGAATATCACAATGCAGTAAACGCAGATGCGGACTATCTTCACGGTAATGGAATCCAAGACAAAGCACTCCTCTTTTTCGAAAGTGGAGGAAGTCGTGTTTAAGGCGTTCTCCATCAGTCTTTTGCAATATACGACGGATCAACTAAAGCGACTTCTCTGAGAATCTATATCATCTTTACCAGCGCTTAGCCCCCGACAATGTTCTACACGCAAAAGGACAGTTTCTAGCTGCTGTACAACAAAAATCTGCCGCAGTGAATAATTTCCACAACACATGATCAGCGATTAGGATTAACAACCAAACCAATCACTTTAATTTCTCCATTTTAATTAAAACTCATCTTTTTAAACATGAACCTTAAAGAAGCTTCAATATCTGTCGGTTTTGACAGATATACTTTTCTCCAATTGTTTCATCTTGATACACTATTGATTTTGACGATGTGAAATTAAGCTCAAAGTCAAATACTCGAGGACCACTTTGTCGGTAAACTAATACCCAAACTAATTTCAAAAACTGAAATGAAATAACAACTATCTTATTAGGAAGACGTGGGTTCTTAGCAGACATCAGTAGGCCGTCTATAAACGAGGCGACAACCTTCAATAAGCTCTTTCTATTAACTAATAATTCCGTCAGCTTAAAAGATTGGTTTTTGAGCTATTCAGTTTTGCCAAATTAAATTGCCTGATTTCAAAACTAAAATAAGAACTCTTTGTTCTAATTTTAGTAAGTCCTTCGTTGAAATCTCTATGTCGCGCTTCGATTACAAGACATTTTTTTAACAATTCATGCCCATTGTCAGAGAGAGGTCCAACTCAATATGCAATTAAGGGGCACCCAACGTAACGACCGTTTTCTCTCGAACGCTTTTAAACGCTGTTTTAGGCCATCTGGGTTACTTTTAAAGTTCTGTTAAAGCTCTGTAGGTTAATTTTAGGTTGCGCTAAAAAAGTTTTATCTGTTCGGTTATTCTAGGGGAACTTGAGTATTCTCGAATTTATTAGGGCTTTTTTGCCCATTTCCCGAAAACCTTAGGTCTTA